CCCCCCCCGCCCCTCTCACAGGGTGCCACGCCGAGCACATGGCCTGCCCCGGCATGGCGTCCTCCCAGCGGCACAGCGGGCCCAGGCCGGCCGTGCCGAGGCCACCGCTGTCCTCTCTACGCGCCCCCTCAGCCTCCCCGCGCCCGGCGGAGGAAGCCAGGCACCGCTCCAGGCGGCGCAGGCCCGCACCGAGCTCCGGCGTGGCCGCCAGCCTGGCCCAGAGGAGGCCTCGGCGCGCGATCTCCGCCGCGGCGCGCACCTCCTCCCACGTGCGGGGCCTGGGCGGCGCCGGCGCCTGAACTGAACTCTGCCCCAAACCCCCGCCCTGCGGCCCGACCAGGCTCGAGCGGCCGGCCGTCGCCCGGCGCAGGGCGCACCCAGCGGCCTGCGCCCGCCCCGCCCCAGCCGACGCGGCGTGGCTGGGGCGACGGGCTTTGCCGTCCCTGGCGGCCCCTACCGCCACCTCGCCCAGGGACTGCGCGCTGAGCCCGCTGCTGCGGCGCCTGCCGTGCTGGAGGGCGGAGGACCGGCGCGCGGGCCCCGCCTCGTCGCCGCTGGACGCACCGTCGCTCGCGAGGCTGGATCCGTGCCGCGGCTGGGCCTCGGAGAAGCTGGCGCTGGGCTCGGGGGTGGCGTCGAGCGTGGAGCGCCCCTCGTCGTCTGAGGGCTCGGAATGGCCGTCGGCGGCGGCGGGACCGGTGGCTGCGGGGTTCGCATCGCCCCTGCTCTGCTGACACAGGAGCTCCAGGGGTTCGGCCTGGTTGCCGTGGTCGGAGCAAGTTGGGCCCAGAGGAAATAATTTACTGGCCGCCGGGCTGCCGCTGGCGACGAGTTCACGCAAGCATTGGAGCGTGAGGCAGCCGGGGAGGCAGAGCTGGGCCGGCCAGATCGGCACGGGAGCGGGCTGCACTTGGAGGGGAGGTGGCGCTGGTCACTCACATGCCCGCTGGGAACGTGGGTGTGGCGCTGGTCAGCAGGGTGCCAGAGCTGCACAGTCGCAGTCGAAAGGGCTTCACAGGAGGTGATGCAGTTCTGAGCTCACCACCCTGCTTTAAGCCTGGCCAGCATCCTGGACAATACCCCGCCCCCAGCGCCATACCGTTGGTGGTTTGGGCTGGTTGAAACTCGCTGATGGGGGCCTGAGCGGGTGGACGCCATAGGGAATGTGTGCGGAGGGTCGTGGCCGAAGGGGCCGAGGTCGCTCCATGCCCGCCTCACGTTCTGCGATCTTGTCTGCAGCCTGCTTGTCTGCCTGTGACTTGCGGCTCGACACTGAGGAGCGGCGCCTGCTTGCCATGCCTGGGCCTGCGGTGCAGGGGGTCAGCATGCACTTTGTATCAATTGAAGTGGACACAATGCCAACCTTCCCGATGACGCCCATTCTCTCGACTTGCCCTGGGATGGGCGACCCATTGTCTTCGCTCCATCCCGTATGGACCCCGACAATGAGGGTCGTGCATGTTTTTCATCCAGGAAGGACGATCGTGGCCGCTCAGTCGTCATGTCGAAATCGCCGGTCGCCGCATGAAGAGTTCAAACGAAAGGGATTGTGGCCATGCTGACAGCTAATGAGGGGAATTGATATTAGATTCATATATTGTGAATCAGCACCGATTCGACGAGGAATCTATTTGGGTCCCACAGGTCGACAATGAGCCCCGAGTCTGCGCTCCAATGGTGTCGTATCGACCTTTGCGCCCGTCAGATGCTTGCACAACCCTTTCGACACCAACTCCACCGTTTAAGACCGCACAGTATCGACCAGCGCTGCCAAGTACTTTGTAAAGTGATACCTGAGACTCATGAAGATTGTGGACCGTGCAGGGCAATAAGTGCCACAAGGTGAGGAAGGCAATGGGGCCCCAGACCTGCCCCTTTGGAAGTAATGGAAAGGAGGAAATCTCCGGCTCGGGGGAGAAGAAGGGCAGCGCAAAAATAGTACTTCGCCGGTGCATTGCCGCCGTGTCTCCCTGACCGGTGTTTGAGCGGCAGATGCCCTGGCTGATTAATGCAACATAGATCTGCGAGAATATGACCTGACTGGGCGCATCACTCGGATACCTCACCTAGCCTCATTCCTGTGCCCTCCCCCCGTCCTTGCTTTTCATAGCTATTTAGATGGCAAGGAAACGATTTGCTGCAGGGCAGCGGTCAACTTCCGCCGTCCACCTGCTCGTATGGCTGGTGCTGGGGATTGGCATCGGGGCGGTGGCGGGCTTCATCTTCATGGGTAAGTGCCGATGGAGCTCCTCCTGGACAATGCTTGTGAATAGAACCCCAGCATCAAGTCTCGGACCGGTCCGTCTCATCGCATCCCGCCACCCTGGCCCCCAGGCACGGTGCACACGATGCTGGCTTCCCGCGGGGCCGACCACTACGGCAGCGCCCCCGTGGCCGGCGCCAGCACGAAGCCTCCCGCGGGCACCATCCACATCCTCATGACCTCCAACGGCTCCCCCTACCAGAACTACCAGACACGCATCCTGCTGGGCACCTACGAGATCATCAAGGGCATGCCTGGCGGCGAGCGTCACGTGGGCATCACCCGCATCCTGCATCGCACCAAGCCCGACATCCTGATGGAGATCATCGACACCTTCCATGCCACGCCACTGCAGCCAGCCTGCGACGGCTGGTGCAACTACCCTGTCTCTGACAGAGGGAATGCCATGCGGCAGTTCTTCGACTCCCTCCCCTCCACCCCCGACCGCATCAAGGTGGGTCGATTAGTTCATCTGGTCCCGGAAGGGTACGCGGTTGGGAAATGGTTGGGAGTACAGATTTTGTTATGGAAAACCATGATGGCAGCACTTTGCCATAGGCGGGCATCTTCCAGCGCCCCAGCTTGTGGAGATTCAAGGGGAGGGAGGCCCACTTAGAAAGGGGAATGCTCCGCTCACCACATTCACACAGGGTGGGATGGTCTGAAGCATGTCCATGTGCCTGCCAGTGACATTCTCTGTGCTCTGGGTCTATGCCTGGACGTATCACACCCTACCCTGCTGGCATACACCCTGGCACGGTGATGACAATATAATCCCAGCTCTCTGAGCTTCCGGAATGAGGAGAGAAAATACGTCTAAAACTTGTCTGAGTGCCAGACTGTTCGCCTTTTTGTACTTTCTGCCTGGGCCTGGATAGGGTTGGGACAGATCTTCCACCACTCCTATTACCAGTGACTTGGCATGACATAGCACGTCCACCATCCCTTGCCAGCTCAAAGTGCAAAGGCTGATCATTTTTCCGAAACCAAGATCCCATGCTTTGCAGGGGGAGTGGCTGTACATGATTGAGTCCGACTATGTCTTCATGAAGCCGCTGGGCATCCCCAGCACCCCGCCAGAGGGTTATGCAGGCTGGGCGTTTCCCTTCAATTACATCAACCCAATTGCCGTCCCGGTGAGGCATCTCTGGGGCTTGCCCTTTGGCTCTGGGAATGGTCCTGAGGTGCAGGAAGTCGGCAGCGGCCTGCTTAGCATGTTTTGTCTCTCTCACTCGGCCTCTCAGGATGATCCTCCCTGCAAGACCATCCCAAAACATTCGTGTCCCCATGGGCCATACAGCTGTCCTTCCCAGCATGGTTTCTGCACTCTACCTCCCCCCCCATTTTCCTCCCTCTTCCTCAGAATGAGATGCAGAAACTCTCTCCGGGTGTGGATGTGAAGAGCATTCCCCCCACTGGACCCGCACCCATTGTGCTCAGCCTGCAAGACTGGATCAAGGTGAGGCCACCTGCCCAGCTGGCTGGGGCAATGCCTTCATCAGCCTAAGTTCGGAGTGGATCTTGATCTCGAGAAGGCACCTACCCAGCCATGGGCCTGCTGCTTCTCGCCGCCCTCATGTTCCCTTGCATGCCCCACGATCGAACAGGACAGAGTCAACCCTGCCCTGCACCGAATCACATTCCCCCCACCCAGCCCCCACCATCCCTGTTCACAACTCAACCTGCCCCCCCCCCCGGCAGGTGACGCCCAGCTGGGAGCGACTGACCGCGGCCATTGAGGCAGACACGGAGGTCCGTGACCGCCTGGGATGGGTGCGTGAAATGTATGCCTTCTCCCTGGCCCTGGTGGAGACCGGTATCAAGGTAGAGCTGCGGACCGAGGGGCAGAGCCCCTTTATCGCCCACCTGCCGGGCCAGGCGGGGCTGGGCGAGGCGCACGCCTTCCACTACACCCTCTGCACCATCTACAAGACCATGGACGGCGGGGACGCGTGGGGCTTTGACAAGCGCTTCTACACGGAGCCGCAGCACGCGCTGGAGCTGACGCGCATCCCGCCCATGCCCGAGTTCGAGGCGGGCAAGTACAAGTTCGTGGAGGGGCCGCCGGTGACCCTGGAGAAGCACAACGCCATCAAGCAGATGATAGACCAGATCAACAAGGGCATGGACCTGGCGGTGCCCCTGCCCGAGGCAGCAAAGGCGCGGGCCTTCTAGTGCCCAGCGGCGGCGCTGCCGGCGGGGCGCGGCTCTGCGCCCGGGGCCTCTGCCTGGGTGAGGGCAGGTGTTGACCCCCCCCTCCGAGCGCAGAGGCCCTTCAAACTTTGTACCCTCACAACCTGAATCTTGTGCGGCCCTCACAGACCTGCACCCCTGACCTGACTCCCCTTTGAACCTGTTCAGCTGTAATGAAAGATACCTCGCAGACCTTCAGGCTGGGGGGCATCGCGCGCGCGCGACTTTAACGGCATGCCCGACATTTGCCAATTGCCGACGCAGGGCACTCGAGGGCATCCATCACATATGTATTTGGGTGCTTTGTGAGGGCCAAGCGAAGCTCGAGGCTGATCGAAAATTTGTCCTCAACAGAGAAGTCCTGGGTGACACCGCCTTCGGGGGCGCCGCTCACTGACCCCAAGTTAACAGCCTGCACGACCATGCACTGTGCCCAGTGAATGGCGGGTCCAGTAAAGCAAGAAGATGGGGGGAGTCCGGCACCAGCACAGCGTCCTGGCTCCCTGCACTCCGGCCTGGGTCGGCCGGAAGGTAAGGCGCCAGTGGGTCCCTGCACCCATGAGGCCCGACATTATGCCAACGACATGCGCTCATGGTTTGTGATTCCTTCATACTACAGGTCTGAGTAAGGAGAAGGCCACCGTGTCGACCTCAGGACGCAAGGTACGGGTGCACCTCTGATTCTGTTGATCATGCATGCCACACTGACTGCACCCTGCAAGTCCCTGCCCTCTTCCCACTCTCCACCTCCGCCTCCGAGCCAGGTGCGCTTCCTGCCCACCAACTTCTCCCGCCTCAAGAAGGAGGCGGGCTCCAGCAGCGATGGTGGGTCGCGGGGGAGTGCAGGCCCCAGCGCCAAACCCGACTCCGTCTTCGAGGAGCTCATCCGCGCCGCCGCCGCCGAAGGCCGGGGCCGAGCGGGGAGGGGCATGCTCGGACGAGGGCCCGGCCCGGCCCCCGGGCGTGGAGCGGGGAGCGTCACCACCTTTTCCGGCGGCGGCGATGGTGGGTGGGGGTGCAGGCGCTGCGGTGTGCGCCGCACGTTAGGGGTCTGAGCGTGCTATGTTCCTGTGTGGCCGGCCAAAGACAGGACGAACGCGACGGCCCTGGACCTTCCAGTGCCCCTCTGCTGTGCCACTGCTCTGCTGCTAATGATTGGGTACGCAGCCGCGCTACCCTGCACCCCGACAGCAACCAACCCCACCATCCCCCAGCAGGCCCCACGGCCAGGGCGGCCACCAGCGCGCGGCACGGGGTGTGGGGGGGCACCCCCTCCCGCGACGCCGGGAGCGGCGCGGGGCCCAGCAGGGCCGGCGGCCCGGGGTCTGCCCCGGGATGCGCGCAGCCGGGCGGCCCCGGCGCAAAGGGCGGCCCCGCGCTGTCGGTCCTGGAGGCTGACCTGGCGGTGGAGGAGCGAGAGGAGCGGGAGGATCCGTGGACCCTGGCCCGGTACCACCCGACCACCCTGCCCCTGCCTGACGGGGAGGGCCAGGCCCCGGCCACGCTGCGGGGCAGCGACCCCGCGTCGGCCGTGCCTCGGGACCTCATGACGCGCGAGGTGTGTGGTTGTCAGACTGCGACACCTGGCTGCAGGATGTCGCAGGGGGAGGGTCTGGTCGGTGACCTCCACCTCCTGCCTCGCTGGCTGAGGAGCGGCACCCCGTGTGCCTACGTCCGGCGGCCAGAGTGGCAGCACCCCCACCCGCCCTCGCAGACTGCCACCAGCTCGTCTCGCCCACCCCTCCCTTCCTCGTAACTCCACGCACCCAGGACCCCGCCAGCGCCACAACCAGCGAGCTGGACTGGCTGCGGGACCGGGAGGCCAACGATGGGCGGCTGGTGCTGCTCCAGCTGCCCCCCGTCCTCCCCCTGCTGGTGCCCTCCGGCGCGCCCGGCCCCGGCGGCGTGGCCGTCGACCCCCGCCCTGCTGCGCTGGCGGACCTGCCGCAGACGCTGGTGGGGAAGCTGCAGGTGATGGCCAGCGGCGCGGTGCGCCTGCGCGTCGGCGAGGTGGCGCTGGAGCTGTCGGCGGGGACGCCGTGCCTGCACGCGCAGGAGGTGTGCCTGCTCTTCCCCGCCGCGCGGCAGGCAGTGTCGCTGGGCAGCCTGAGCCAGCGCATCGTGGCGGTGCCGGATCTGGGGGCCCTGCTCAGGTGGGATGGGG